CCAAATGAACATCACAGAGAGTAAACATATTTTTATTCCAAACACAGATCAGGGCACACAACAAGCCGTGTAATAGATTTTTGTAAAAATAAATGGACAGAGAAGTATTGTGATAACAAGAGCTTCAGAAATGCCAGCCACTAAAGTTAATAAAGTACCTGATAGAGCTGTTCTCCAATTTAATAAGGCCATATGAGTTTTACACACACTTACCAGTCTCACACCACTGTCTAATCTCTCCTGCCTGAGACGTTCCTCACACCGAGCCAGATAAGGAAGCAAGACAGATGTCAAATGGACAGACGGATTGACAGGTGAATTAATGGATTTGAAATGGGTGGATTTTTTTGTAACTTTTAAAACTACAATAACTCCAATTCTCTAACTGAAACACACTTGCACACTTCACATTTTGTTCACAAGCACACTCCTTCTCTATCTTTTACTTTCTCTCAAACACACATACAAACACATTCTCTCCCTCTCTCTCTTTTCACTCAACACCCAAACTTTCACACACACACACACGCACATTCCCACATCCTATTCATCTCTTTCTCTCTCACTGTCGCACATACAAACACTCTCTCTCTCTCTCTCTCTCTCTCTCTCTCTCTCTCCCCCACATCCTCTCTCCCTTTCTCTCTCCTTTCTTCACACACACTCAACCTGGGCTAATATTGGAGGGTGTTTGTGTGTTTTGTCTACCATTATTCCGCTTTTTTTCTGATTAATCATACCGGATCGAAGATCCTTAGAGGGCAGACCTTCGGTGACATCATCGACCCCTACACTGGATAATAAAAAAACCAAGAACGAATTAAGGTTTTGAGGAAACGCACCATGTCCTTCCTCTGTGCCCTGTGCGTACAGGAAAGGGCGATCTCTCTCTTACTGTAGACGACGGCGGCTCACAGTGATGCGAATGCGCTCCAGTGATGCAGGAGAACTTCACGCTCGTTTGTGCCAGACCTTGTTAGAGTCGCTGGGTGTTGTTGGGTTGTCAGCAGAGGTGCCATAGTCACGCAATTAACTTCAGCTGGGCAGGACAATTTTCGAAGTTAATCTGATAATCAATTCAAATGCAGTGACTCTGTTTGTCGTTGACATGTGGATTTGAGCCTTTTGGTTTCATTTGACCTGTGACATATGGTTGGGAAGCGCAAGTTTGGAGCTGTACAGACCCGCTCCCCCTGCCTCTCCTCCCTCTGCTTCTCCCCCTTCTCCTTCTCCAGAGCGCGTCCTCGGTGGAGCTGGAGCGGACAGAGCCGGAGGCGCTGAGGAATGCGGAGCCGGGATTCTTTGTTTTCAAGCTCACCTGCGGAACTCGCAGCGCAAATTAAAGTAAGTGAATTCTCCTTCAGCCGAACTGTGCGCTTTAGTGGAAATAAAAGCAAGAAGCACATTTCTGTGACGTTCTCATCTGAAGATAATCCGCGTAATATTATTGCTGGATCTCTGTCACTAGATAGACTTACGGCTGACCTTGTGAGAAGTGTGTTTTATTTGTTGTGATGTACCGAATTACGTTCTGTCCCCGATTGCGTCTGTGACAGACCTGTAACATCACTGGGTCAGTGGGCTTCATTACCCTCTTCCTGTCTCATCCAACAGCCCACTGACGCAGCCAGGGAGCCCACAGAGCGCCATGCTGAGGCTGATTCTCCTCAACTCTACCGACAATCCAGACTTCGACCTGGTGCTCATGGCCCAGTCCTCCACGCAAGACCCCTCCTCCCTGAACGCCTCTCACGGCAGCTCTGTGAGTGTGGCCGCTCTTCTCAGACCCACCACGCGGGGAGGTGGACTCCGGGAGGGCGAGCTCCACAAGCCTGACCTGATCACCTACATAGTCATGTGCCTACTTCTGTTCCTCCTGGTGCTGCTCATTGTCTTCTTCATCAACTGCCAGCTGCGGAACTCTTTCTTTGCATCCATGCCATATGACAGGTCACTGAGAGAGGCCAGGACTTCCTACAAGTAGCCTTGGTGACTCTCTCACAATCTAAATCTGGAGGAAAAACGCTCCTTCAGGGAGTAACAGAAATTACATGTAGCCCATTTACTTTCATGGTCAAGAGAAGTGGTTGCCTTCGGACATAAATGATGAATCTACAAAAGATCCCCAACAGGATCAAACTGATCAGATTAGGGGTCCAGAGCCCCTCAGAAACAGAGACAGCGTCTCAGAAGATGAGTGACGTGTCTTCGTCTGCTGCTGCTCCTAAAAGATAACAAATTTATCTCTTGATTAAATTTGTGTCTAAGCCTCTAATTTTCTGGTAATTCATGGATGAAATGTGAAACAATCCATCATCCACTTCAGCTCCTGTATAAGCACTTAAACAGTTTATTGTCCCATTTTAGAAGACACCCCTCGGCGTGTCATAAATGTGCCCTGTGACCCGCACTTTCAATCCAAAATACACTGGTTAGGACAAAAACATCCATAAGCAATATGATAGTAGGCAGTACCTGAATGGTCTCTGTATTGTATATGTATATACACTATTTTGTATAACTGTACCTGTCCTGTCTTGTGAAGTTATGCAATCAATTTTCAACTCAATGTTTACTGTAAAATGCAGATTAAAGGGTAGACTCTTTGTCTGAGTCGTCATGCATTTTGAATTAGCATTCTGGCCGTCTGTGTATGAATGATGGTTATGATGTTGATGCTGCAGCTGCTGATGTGAAGGGCCAACTGGTAATCATTTAATAGGCTGCGTCCACACAGCCGTTTATGAGTGCCATAGGGCTCCTGGCCTTATCGTGCACTTTCTCTTTTAATTAACCTTTCCAACAATTTACAGCTCCAATATCCACGGGAAGACTTGGGGCTGGAGATAGAATGAATGTATGATGTGTCCTCTGTGATAAACTAAACCATTGTCTGCCACCGGTGATGCGCAAATGCTCCCCGATCTCGTTGTGGGAAAACATACACCATGGCAGATAGATGACCCTCACATCTCTCACTCTTTCTTTCTCTCTCTCACTGTTGCGTGTATTCTCTGTGTTTCTGTTTCTGTGCGTGATTCTATAATTGACTTTAGACTATTTGTGGCATGATTATTTGTCTTATTTAGACCTGCAGGACAGTCCTCATAGAGACCAAAAGCTTGTCCTAATGAGGCAGAACTCCATCTGGTCAGTCTTTGGTTGAATTGAAAATCACAACATTAATTAAATTTAGGTAAAGCTTACAACTTGGCATTACCTGGCAATGTTCGCATTAAGCATTTAATGTATAATTTGGCTGTACAAAGTCTAGAAAATAATAATAGCTTCCAAGGGAACTGTACATCAAAAAATTAGGCATTTTAATGATTTTAAAGTATCACATGCTTTGACTAATATAAAATTATGCTAAAATATCAAGAAAATGAATGTCACTCCTAGTTTATGATCAAACAAAACTGCATTTGTAATAACGACATGCATTGTTTTCTGTGTACAACGTTACCCATCAGCTCTAACCTTAAATATTTTAGTTTGCAAATAGGTCAAATCTAGACATCATACACAAATTGCTTCACATGCTGAATGATCACTCTTCACACTGGAACGCCTGTTATTTAGGTTCTTACCACTTGGGGTCGCCCCAACTCTGATTATATTTAATGCCCTAACGACATGTTGTATTTACCTTATTACCAAATAATAATAACTGTAGCAGCTCCAAAAAGAAATTGAACAATTCATTGCTAGCCCTTTTCGCTAAGTAAGGGTTAGGAAGGGTTCACGACAAAAAACACTAGTCAAATTTTTATATAAAATCATTTCTATGTTCGATGTGTAATGCAACATTAATTAACAAAAACTAACTACTAAAACTTAACAATTAAGGACGACGATTATTACTAACTAGTTTACCTGCCTAAAGTTTTCTAATGAAGGTTATTGTATCAAGTGGGTCGTAATTAATGTTCTGCCTCAATTAGTGGTTACTGTGTGGTCAGCACCTTCATCTTCACCTTGGCTTGTGCTGTTTTTAATTACCCACTGGCTCAAACATGTCTGTTACAAGGTCCACTTGTTATATCCAGCAGATACTCTCATCCTTGTATTCTTCCCGTGGATTAATCTTTACATTTATTTATACCACCCTTTGCACTGAGAGCCTGCTTTGTTATGAAAAAGAACATTTATGCAATTGTGACCTTTAACACATTAAAATGAAAATGAAAGCTGAGAAGAGCCACATATCAGTCCTGGGTAGCCCTTATATTTACAAATAACAGCATATTAAACTATTATAAGGAAATTAAGGACGAACTAAAGCTACTACTCTAGAAATTGAACTGTCAACTGAATTCTTCCACGGGCATCTTTCTATCTATCCACATTGGCATTTATGAGATCTTCCCACTCCCTAGGAGAAACAACTTTGATACATTTGATACGTTGCTCTGTCTTTTAACTGATTTTAATAGTTGATATTGCTGATTAATCCGGACCAAGGGCTAAAAGTTCTCAAGATCTCATTTGTAAAACCTCGATGACTATCACTTACTAATGTGTCTCTGAAGATTAGTGAAGGTGGATTATAGGATTGAAGCTGTTTGGTGTTCTCAGGTGTAGCTGTTGACCTTAGGCTCCTCCCTGTGAGCAGCTCTGAGCGACTGTCAGAGGAACAGGAAGACTTCACTCTACCCCTGCTGTCATCCAGGGCTTAAAAAGTTAAACAAAGTTATCGCAGCGATGGGAACTAAGTTTTGGAGACACTGTAGATATAGGTAAACTATCACCAAGGCTCGGGGCTTGTGTTTTGGTCACTTAACCAACTCTTAAAAGCGGAAAGAGTTGAGATTTTTTTCCCCTTTTTTAAACTTACGGTGACTCTACCTACGGCAGCAGAGGAGCTAGCTGAAGCTAACGTTAGCTGACCATACTATCGTATACATTCCACTCTTAAAAGTTAAGTCGTTTATTGTTTGCTTTACGCTCCATTTGA